CTCTCTCTCTCTCTCTCTCTCGGCTGTGTATGTGACATCCTGCAGGAGAACTTCTCTCAGGTTGACTGCCGCTCGTCTTCCAACATTTGGCCATTAGGCGAAAGCATCTGTGTGCGTGGTGCGTGGTCAAGCAGCATCTGCGATGCGACGAAGTATCGGGCAGTGCAACAGCAGATACTCGCCAAGCCCGAAAACTGGCCCACACCCTGGGCTTTGCATATGTTCTGAAGCCCTAAACCCTGAAAGCCATCAGGCGTCCTATGCGCTACAAGCCATAAAAGAGTGCTGCAGAGATGAATGCTATTTAATGCTCGCGGTCGTGGTGCTCTTAACAACATCACATCCTAGAATCCTAGTAAAACTGATTTTCTACACCTATCGGATGCTGCGGGTTTTCTGCACGAGCTGCAGTCGCAACAGTCTTTCGAGCAAGACCTCCATACGGAGTAGCTGCCAGCGCAGCTGCGACGGTTCCCATTCTGCCTCACACGCTCCAGCAGCCTGACTGCAGCAGCAAAATCAGAAGGCACAAAAAGACACTTCTTCACTGCCCTATGGTATCTTGGCTGCACCACCCTGAGCAGCCGAAAACATAGACCCAAATACAATCCCTGCATGTACACGTGCTGAACCATCCTCAACCCATTCTCAACCCCAGCCTTTCCCCACCGGTAGCTTTACACCTAAAGCCTAAACTCGCTGATCGATTGCCGCATACCCATGCGCCCAGGAGCAGCGCTCAGTGTGATGGAATCTGCTTCCGTGCCCGGCCTTCCACTCAGCCAAGGAGGAGAGTTGATTATGGAAAACACGGGGTTGATGCTGTGGATTACTGGTTTAGCACGGCGCTTGCCTGTGTTTTTCTTGTTCTTTATGCATTTTGTTTGGATGTTTGTTGGTCTTAATTAAACGTGCAGAATGCAAGACTCCCTCTTGCTGCTGTGAGCACCCGGTTCCGGCTTGACATTGCGCAATCGCAGCCGACAAGCTCTGCATGGTTGCACGTCTTGGTATGCTTTCTCAGAGTATCGCAGATGCTTCCGAAGCACCGGTCATCACAACTGTCTTCTTGCGCCACCATCAAAAAGTCCACTAATTATTATGGAAACCAATACTACAAAAAAAACGAAAGGAACGAATGTCAGAATAGCGGAGTTCTGAAAAGGTTGACCGTTTGGCTGCAAGTTAGACCTACAAGCACCACTGTTGGACGGCGACACCGATGCCTGCTCATACTGTTTTTTACTGCTGGATTCGTCATCGCTTTTTGCCATCGTCGGTAGTCGTCGTCGCAGAGGAGGTCGCCGTTGCTGCTGCTGCTGCTGCTGCTGCTGCTGCCGCTGCTGCTGCTGCTGCTGCTGCTGCTGCTGCTGATAAACTTCTTTGTGATCGCCGACATGTTCAATACAGAGATGCATCATAGCACTCTGCTCGCCTATGTCGCTCTTTCTGTAGTCGCAAAACGTTAGGCTGCATTGCTTTATGATGAGGACATCGTGGTCCGCGAGGTAGTGTTCTTGGTGCGTACAGGTAATGTGCAAACTATACATGCTGCAAATGTGCCCGCATTGCATGGTAAAACATGCTGCGTGCAGTGGTACCATTCTTTAGTTCTAATGACAACCGAAACCGCAGTGACGAAACATATGCCAGTGCTGATTCGGAACATGTCGGTGGTGATGGCCGCAGCGGTGGTGATGACTGCTAATGGCTTTGTGGCGTGTGTTACTCATGACCTGTTATGTTGTTGATAGTGACGAGTATAATCGAATGTCGAAGTCGCTTTCTTTGTCAGTATTAATGTAGAGAAAACTGCCTGACGGCCTGATGGTAATCACAAGGCGTCAAAGACGGAACCAATTCTGTAAAAAATCCTTCAACAAACGTCTCTCACACACGCACACACTCGCGACATGCCCGCTCTTGACACTTAGGAACTGGGCCAACAAATTGGAGGTTAAATGAAGTTAAAGTTTGTTCATTCTGAAGGCAGTCGTCGGATCCATCGTTTGAGGATGGCGCACTTCAGCCGAGTGAGTCATGGTAATGTAGGGGCCTTAATGATTAGACTAGGGTTTTGGGGTACACTTACCATACTATAACTATAATAAAAAAGGGGTAATTATTAAGGCCCCTATACTGCCGTACTCAGGAAGACTGAGGGGTGCCTGCACGCTACAGTCGACAACATGTCGCACGGGGGGGGATGTTCCTGGAAGCCCAGCGTTCGCAACCACAAACTCGATTCAAGCTTGCAGCAAACAACACTGGCTCGTAACAAGACTGAACAACATCAACATACAACACACTATGGCGTAGCAATACCAACATAAGATAGCTAGTGGTACTGCAGCGCTTCTGCCTTCCATGGCAGGTACTGTGGCCAGCATGATTCACAAGAGAGTAGCAAGGAAAATAACTGCGGGTCCACAACTTTTTGCACCGAGGCCCTAGAAAAGTTCAGCCGGGCCAAGGACTGAAAGGTAGCAACAAATCAACGCAGACTAGTGCTGATCGCCCATGTATATCCAATTCAACTAATTCTTGAAAGTTCCAGCCAGGATGGATTTTAAAGGCAACCTGAAGGCTACATGGGACTTTCCGAAAATTAGGGTACCTTATTTTGGGGTCCTTATAATCAGGATCCTACTATTTAGGAAACTATATTAGGGTCCCTTATTTTCGGAAACTCCCACATCTTGACTCCTGCCTGAGGAGGCCCAGTATCCGGGACCACTGCCGTCCTCTTTCCTAGGCAAGAGACATCGAATGGAACGGTAGCTGTTGGGGCTCTCTTTTCCTTGGGTCCTAGACCTTAACCCTAAAGCCCGAAATTCTAACGTATACCAAGCCTTGTCCCTCTTGTCCAGTATCGTGGGGGAACTAAAGCTTATTCTTTGCGATTATACTAGGGATATCAGTACCCCAACATGGTTGAAGGTCACCTACTCTACTATAATTTAGAATTTAGAGGCTGTAACCTACCATTTTGCGGGGTTTGCTTGCAGCAGCTATCTCTGAATTCCTCGAAGCCACGAGAGAGCTTGCCAGGGCATTGGTGGTTGCAATGTCTGGCGCCAGTCGCAGGGGCAAAAGTTCTCGAAAAAGTAGCTGAGTGGACTCCCACCTGCTGGATTTCATTTCGATTCCACTATGGTTTTAAGGTTGCACTCTTGTTTCTTCATGGGTTCCCATAAGCCCTAAGGGTTCCATGTGGGGAAGTACCCGAAAGCTGGACATTCGTTGGTGATCTTGTGCAAAAGCCAGCTCGTCCCGATGCCTTCGCACATTTCTTTTTTTGCGGACCTTGTAGCAGATCCTATGGGAAATCAGGTTGCAACTACTAACTACGCTGTGATATGGCTAGCTTTCACAATTCCGCTCTTTGGGCTGGCGGCTTCCGTCAAGATAAGTAGCCCGAAACCCGTAACTCCAAACCTGCGAGACCTTAACCCAAACCCTAAACCCTAAACTCCAAAGCTACTAGACCCTAACCAAAACCGCTTCACAGCTAAACTGAACTCAAACTCTAAGCCGTGACCCCCCAAACCCCTGGGCTCGCGAACTCCACAAGGGCCCTCTCGAAAACCAAACCAAAAGCCTCTATTCAACGCTGATCTAGACTTAGACCCTTACCTTCAAACTCACACTATACAAGTCAGTGTCAGTCTGCCGGGTGCTTCTAGAAGATCGTAAAGCAGGGCCCAATTCTACTAAGCAATGAACATACCTTACATCATCATATTAGATGCCCCCCCCCCCCCCACGCTTTCAGGTAATTTAGGGCTACAGGGCTCTCTGGGCTAGGGATATGCGACCTTCCTGCAACTTCGCACGTGGCGATGGCGGCAGTCTGCCTTGGCCCCGTGCTGTAAAGGTCCGGGGTACTTGGAGGATCTGGCACTTAAAAGACTGGGGTTCCAAATATTGTAGTAAGTATAGTTCTACATACTTACTTATAACCCAAATGAAATTTCTTATAACCTTACTTACTACCTCCCATGATCCTCCAAGTGCTACGTGCCCTTCATGGAACTCAGAAGTACCAACCTTTAACCTCTTGATGACGCAAGACTGTAGCCCTGCGAGCCCCTAAAACGTAAACCCAACACCCCAGCCTAGTCTGACCTGCAATTGGAAGCACACGGATGGATTTCAGATGCCACAGCTACAAAGTTGTCTTGCAAGTCTTCTGGCCACAAAATTCGGCCAATTTCCAGTCCGGTTTGTGTCTGGTTCCTGGCTCGTTGGCAACTTACCCTTGAAGAAGATCGTAGCAGTGTAGCCTTCCTCTTAGGTAACATGCAGCCTGCCCGTTTCTCGATACATACAATTCCGGTGGTTTAGGGGTTTGGGTTCAGGGCGCTGTACCTTTGACCTGGCCAAGATGCGTGATCAGCGTCGGGCGCAGGCTTGCAGGCCGCAGGTTGCGCAGAACCTGAAGTGTGACATACATGTCTGGCTTTTGGTCTGAAAAAGCAAGCAGCTTAAGAACTCGCAGGGTCTTGAATCCTAGTTGGAAGTAGGCTACTCGAATGAGCTGAGGCCCAATTACGGCCTGTTGGGCTTCGGATTTGCAAACTCTTCAACCAGAATCGTCCGAATTCTATCTGCTGCTACAGGATCGGGTTTAGGGACCAGAGCCCTAGAATGAGAAGGACATGTGCTTTGTCATCGGAACGTTGACTGCCCTGACCACCCTCTACATCCTATGTCCTATGTATTGGGGACAACACTAACCAGAATCCCTCAAAATGAAGCGCAATGGCGACGCCTGATACAAGCTCCTTTCGTTTGTTGATTCGAACTATAGGAATGAGCCCAATATCGAGGTACGTCAAGAAACAGTGGCAGATGCAGAAGGGGCATCATTGGGCTCCGGAATACGTACCCCGTTCCCCCCAGCCCCTCAACTAATACAGCCTATGAACTCACGAGCCAGGTGTTGGCACGCGTCCTTGCCTGAAAAAACCGAACCCTAAAAGCCTGCAAATCAAACACTGGAAATCTAAATCTAAATCCAAAGCTTTAAACTGTTAACCAAAAACCCCTGAATCCTAAACTCCCAACCCCAAAGCCTAAACCCCAAAACCCCACGTCGCGAAATTTCCGAGCACCCAAAAAGTCGCCTGGCCTCGACGGACAACTTCCACTTCGCCCCTGCGCGGAGGGAACCCAGCGCCTGGAGGCTTTGTCAAGGTTCGGGTTCATGTAGGGTTTAGGGTTGGGGTTTTGACACTCGCACTCGGACGCACCTGTAAGGTTATGGGTTTAGGGCCCATGACGGAAACTTTGGGTTTAGCGTTGGGGGCCTTTAACTTTAACTGCTTTAACTATGGTCGGAAGACGTCGCTGACATCTATACTTACTTTGCTTTTCTTGGGAATTCGAAAGAAGATGCGCCAGCGGCCGCAACAGAGAGTTACGAAATTGGTGAGGGTTTTCTTAAGACGAGTTTGCATGAGCAATAACAGCCACCCAGCCAAAGCTGACACCTGCAGTCTCGAGCATCTAGGGCTTTGAACCCTAAGCATGACAGCCGGCTGCTGCTCACCCTAAACCCTGCCCTAAACCCTAAACCCTAAACCCAAAACCCTAAACCCTACAGCCCCTAAACCCTAAACCCTACAGCCCCTAAACTCGTGAGCTCAAGAGTGCTTCGGATGGCTTCGGCTTGCATTTGCTGCACCTTCTTTCCCTACTGAGGGCTGGGTATATAGGGTTAAAATTACAAAGTTATACATAGCGACGTCCTGAAGCTTCAGCCACTCTAAAAACGGCTTTTCCGTTGTATGCTGGTTTAGTTTTTTGGTCTCCAGGTTCCTAGTCTGATTAGGGTCTAGGATGGTTTACGATTGAGAGCTTCGGGTTCTCGGGTTAGGGCTTTGAGCTGTCGTGGGTTGCAACATAGGGGCCTTTTGCCCGTTATAATCCGGAACCGCAGGGAGTAGTACTGCGATTTTGCTCAGGCCTCCGTATTATCAGCCCTATAACCCTAAACCCTAAAACCCTAAACCCTGAATCCCAACCCCTGATTGACTTGAAACTGAGCAGACAAGCGGCGGCATTGTGCAGGACGATGTCATGCTTCACGGCCCTCGGTTCTTGAGCGGCACTCTTTTGCCGCTGGGGTCTCATGAGCAGTGTCTTGGCATTCGAGATGTGCGTTCACGGCCTTTTTGGGTTTGGGGTTACCCTTAGGGTTTTAAGAAATGTGCAGTGTTCATAAAGCTGTCGAGGGCAAGAACTCCTCGTTGCAACCTTAAGCACTAGTAGCCAGTGCAGCAGGAGCCAAACCTTGAATGTACATTTAGGCTTGCGACACGCGCTAGCGGCAATGCTTGAAGGTTGGTATGGACTTAGTTGCTGAGTTTGTAAGCCCAGAAAAATTTTGCCCTTTCAGTTCTATGGGGGATATTATTATCCCAAGCAGTGTAAAGTGCACTAAATGGACTATAGGACACGATTTCGGGCTTCGGGTCTAGGGGTTATGTAACATGTAGGGTTTAGGGTTTTAGGGTTGAGGGTGGCATGGGATGGATGGCCTGGTAGAAGTGACTGAGAGCAGCCGTAGTGCCGGCTGCCACTCGCCGGCCCGGTCACCTGAAATGAGGGTTCAGGGTTTAGGGTGGCTTCTTTGGCGGATGGCCTACATGAGCGACTCATGCTCAGTTTGTGGCGCCTCTTCAGAAAATCAGCACGCGCAAAGGGGGCCAGTTCCATCCGTTTAATTTAAGAAGCCGAGCAGCATGCACTAGTCGCAGAGCCGTGGGTGATTTCGTTGTTTTGCAGGTCGCTGGACCGTACGCATGCAAGCATATCAAGCGCATGTTGCCACTTGGCGGCCCGCTCGCATGCGCTGATGCCTGCGCCATATGCCACTACATTAGCAGAGAGGTCCACACAGTTCATCTGCCCCAGGAGGAGCAGCGCTTGGAGCCACTCTGCGGACTTTGCACAAGAGCTGATGGTCGTGCTGTACGTGGTCACGCCCGACTGCAAGTGGCAGTCCCCAAGACTAACTAAGAGTTTCAAAGCCTGCTTTGCTTGCGATGCAGTTTCGCATGCGCCGATCACACAGTTGTGCAAGATCAAAGCTGGGAGGACCTGGAGCTCTCGTGCCTGTGAAAGCAGAGCCAGCGCTGTCTGCCACATGCCAGCTCTCCTGCAGACCGTCATCAAGGAGGTATATGCAGTTGAGTCCACCTGGAGATTGCCAGCGATGAGATCAGCAAACAAAGATAAAGCGCCCTGCCAGTCAGCAGAGTTTTCGAAGGCGCTGATGGCTGCACTATAAATGATAAGGTTCGGTTGGACTCGCTGTGCCAGTGCATGGCTGAATGCCAGGAGCGCTCGCTGCCACTCTCCCGCTAGTTGGAGACCTGTCAGCATGGAACCTCAGCTGTGTGTAAGTACACAAAGAACTACAGCGTCCCAAAACAAACACGGCCATGGCGATACCTCGCCACACCCTGCCAATAAAAGGCCTCAATGGGATCATCAGCAACTAGAACAGAGTGCCGGAAATTTGTCTCTACTCTCAAACGGTGTATATCTGGACGGGGACCTGCATCAACCCATGCAGGATCGGCTTTAAGGCTTTGGGCTTGCCCATAACCGTTGTTCGTATGTTTTCTCATTGTGTTTGGGGCTCCGGCTGTGAAGACAATTTCGGTGATGATCCATAGGAACTGAATTATCAGCGCAGGGCCACTTGATTCGTCCGCCTTACAGGATTTTTGGAATGAAGGCGACAAGTCATAAACGCTCTCGAGGCTCTCGGTGCCAAGAGGCTGTGGGTGATGACATCTGGCTGCAGCATATTGTCCAGCAAGTCTTGGAACAAAGTGGTGCTTGTGGACCAAGTCCTTTCCTGGCATTTGTTGGATGTTGTCGCTTTCTGGTGTCTTTGTGAGAGTTTCGGGTCTGGGGGTTGGTGTTGGCCGCATGCCTTGTCAACTTACGCGAGGAATCAAACATTAACAGAGACCCCCGAACCGACAAGAGTTAAGTACAAGCGCACACACACAAAGAAATCTAAGTTTTCCCGTGTGGAGGGAATGGTCCGTATTGCAAGGGAAGCTCTGCATAGCCGTAGCGCTTTATGTAGGCATTAATTACGCCCACCCATGTAAATCTCTAAGAGTGTTTGTCTCCAAACCTCGCAGCATCACGACCCCACTAATTAAAAGCCAGAGCTCGATCTAGGTGTTGAGTGTCCGTAAACTGCTGGATCCGTTCCATGCCCCTTCTCTTACAGGAGATACACTGAGAATTGTTCGGATGGGATCGGAGATACCTGCGAGAGTTTGGAACTGAAAAGTGTGTACATATGGTTGTAACTTGTGCAGATAGATAGATAGATAGATAGATAGATATAGATCGATAGATAGAGAGAGAGAGAGAGATATATATATATATATGTATATATATATATATGTTTCTATGAATATGCAAACAAATAGTGAAATAGTTGCATGTCGCCCCAGGGAAGTCGCACGGCGTATGTGAGTGACTCTGGGACCCCCATGAGCACAGCTTCACGTAGCCACAACAAGAAACAAAGCCCAAACTGCTCAGCATTATCGGGAACCGATGAACCCAAAAGTCCAACCCTGAACGCTGAACCCGAACTGAAGCCCAAACTGATCTCAAACCCCAAACCCTAAAGCCTAATCCCTAAACCCCAAATCCCTAAAGCTCTAATCCCTAAACCCCAAATCTAAGACCCCAAACCCCAATCCTTTCAATCCGGAGCTTCTGCCAAGGCCCTCAGCGCCGAGTTGTATGTGATCCTAGGTTGGCCCCAATTAAAAAAAGCCTATGAAAATTGGAAAAATAAGATCCTCTTAGGGGATTGAGGGTTTAGGGTTTAGGGTAGGGGGTTGAGGGTTTAGGGTTTAGGGTTGGCCTAAATTAAGGGAAACTAGAAAATGTCCCAAATGCCTACCAGGTATCAGGTCAGGTTGTAGGTGCATGGCCGAGACCTGGGGAGTTTGCTTCTAAGGCGTTCAGGGTCTGCTGGGGGTCTACTTGAAGGTTCATGGGTAGTTATAAGTGGGGTTATAAGTAGGGTAACTGTAACTATTAACCCATAATAGGGGACGTATAACCACCTTTATAACTACCCATGAACCTCCAAGTAGGGTTCCGGCAAACAGGGTTTCTAAGGTGTAAACGACCTACACTTTACGGCTTTTCGTGTGGAGGTTTTGGTGGACTGTTTTTTGATGGTCTTGTTACAAGAGCCTGTAAGACATCCTTCGTGTTAAAGGAACGCGTATTCAACAAGGGCGCCTGCAAGCCGGACCTGTCTTATACCTGACCTATCCTCCCGCCCACTCGATCTGTTGCTCCACGAAAACGAACACTAACACAGGCATTCTTCCCCGTGCCCTCAACACTCAGGTGTTTTAAGCTCTGCACATGCTGAAGACAAAGCTACAGACCTTAGCTCCAAAACCCGACACCGGGAAGCTCGGAAGCCATGACCTTCTAGTCACAAGTCCTAAGCACTTGAGAATCCATATACGCTTTGTGCTCCCCTCCCCCGTGTCTCACCCACCAATGAACCCTGAAGCCCAATAACGCCTTCGAGATCAGAGCATCCACCATGGTCCAGCCACTTCCTTTCTGGCAGGCGCTGATGACAGAGTTCAAGAGGATGAGACTTCCCTGCAGTCTCCTGGACCATCAGATGTCAATCTTTTGGAGTTCCGGCAGTTACTGATTGTTGCCTCATTATGATTATTAAAATCATCATAATCGCTATTATCACGGAGCATGAGTACAAAACTTTAAGAGCAATATTGGCAACCATTGGCTGGGGCTCTCGGATTGGCAACAGAGGAGTAGGTCCACGCACATTCGGATATCTGGCGGTGCCCGAAGAGCTGCGAGTGTAGAGAACCAGCTCCAATGCGCGTATTTTACGATAGGAACAAAAACACTAGACCCAGAAGCCTTATAGCTCTAAACCCTCAACCCCGAACACTGAACCTCCCTGATTCCGTATAGCCCTAGAAGCCAAAACACCGAAACCGGCCTAAACCCTAGACCCTAAACC